ACAAAATCCACTGTCCAAGCCCACCTAGAAGCCAGATGGACCTCTCTCTAGGGTACACAAATGGAGGTTTACCTCAGGAGGCTCAGAAGTTTTCTTCAGCCTCGGTGCAGCATTTTACAATTTCCATGTAGTAGGCTGTGCACAGGCTGCTATAGCTGTATCACTCATATGGCTGACAGAAGTATCTACAAGACGTCTGTCAGATGAAGACCCCATACAAGGATCAGAGGTGGAGGGGTTTGGGATAATCCTCTGCTTCTAGCCTGTCCTGAAATTCCCTTGGAAGTATTCATGTCTCACTGTTAGGCTTTATTTCTAAGCTTTAGCAATGGTGAAATTTTGCCATTAGTAGTTTTGCCAAGGGGTATCACATTTCTGAAGTACATACCCTGTACAAACATTACTTTCTATTTGATACAAGCAAGGCTGTAGTATCAAGCCCTTAATAAATCCTTTGTCACCTTTTTTAATGGTGATTCTTCCCTTATTTGATGAAAGAGTGCTCCTGATAATGGATGTGAAGAAGGACTGCAGAATCGTCTCTTAGAGTTATGAAAATTAAAATTTCTGTGTTAAGAAATTTAGACTCACGAGAAACCCAAACTTCACATCCAATGGCAAAATTCAGTTTGCATTTGATGAGATCTCACCCCAGGTGCTTTAATCATGGTGTATTGGGGATTTGTGTAGAGCTAGGAAGCTGATAGTAAAAATTCTTGCAGAAGGAAGAGCTTGCTTGCAGAAGTAATATCACCAGCTGATATGCTGAACACTTTAATTATGGTCACTGCAGGCACTTCAAGCTCAGCAGAAATGAGGTTGATGTTTGCATTGTTTATCTAAGCAATTCATAAGGGAAATAATAACCAGAAGTGTGCTACTGCAAAAATAGCTGATATAAAAACACAATGGAAAAATGCTTGGTGTTAGACAAATGTTTTGAGATACATTGTTCTGCAAGCTGAATGCAGTTTAAATTGAACTTAATATTTCATTGCTGCCATGGATTATTTACATCAAAAATGAAATAACTTGAAGGTTAACTACCAGTTGTACTGTGATGTGACATACAAATTTAGAGACTGGAAATTCAGAGCAAAGGACAACCACTGGCATTCCAAATCGTACTGTCCTTATATGTGCAGCGCTTTCAAGCTGCTTAGGAGTGTGATATATATGATTATTTTGTTTCTTCCAGGTTTATGGCATTTGTTTTATAACTCTTAAGCATGTGCCTAGAAAAACTGCTGCCTAGGCTTAAGGAAAAAATGAATCAAGCCTATAGAGGGAGTATTCTAACAGGGAAATATAACGATGTGATCTCTGATTTGGAAGTGTGGCGCACTCTTTGCGAAAAGGGTGTTTGCCTAGGCAACAGTGTTACTTTTATGACAGATTGATCAGCGTTCCATAGGTAGCTCTTTATGGAGAATGCTACAGTTTAACTTCTTAAATTCATGGTCTTTCTTGTGCTTCCTGTCATAAACAATAGATTTAAGAGAACAGATTCATGGGGTAGGTGCAATAAGTTACGGAATTTAGTTTCACATACTCTGAATTTATCTGATATACAAAAATCACTACTTTGTTTATAATCTAATACATTTTCTCTTCACTATACTATAAAACTTTGTGGTGGTTTTGAGCACAGCAGTTAATGAGATATAATTAATCTCAAAGTCTCTAATAAGGCTTTAAAGGGAATCATTTTAGTTGGATCTATAGACTGTATTTTTTATCCCTAAGCATTTAGTTTTCCCTTTTTAAAGAGATGAAAAAACCCCAGTGGTTTCCTTTTTTCTTTTCTTTGTCACAAGATACTTACTGTCTTGAACTTTTACCATATTTAACTGTACAAATGTGATATCTTTCTGGAGCCAATGTACAGTAAAAGCTACTTGCAGTGAAATTATTAAGTATGTGTTAACAAATGCAGTTGATGTTTCTTCCCACTATTCTATGACAGTATGTCAATGGCACTCTTGTCAAATTTAGTTTAACCTTATCAAAAACTAAAGAAGTTATATCTGTGATTGATCTCCCTTTTAAAATTGCATGTTTCTTTCTGAATGCTGGTCTCATTCTTTCTGTGTTTAATATATTCACAGCTGCAGGACAAGTGGTAACGTATGGTAGCCTTAAGCATCTTCATCAGTAGTAATATTGTAATTAGCGCCTCAAAGGTTCAGGCCATTTGTATGATACCATTTTCTGTCTGGCTAAAGTCAAATGGAAAGACTGGATTCTCCAGTCCCTGCCTGGGGAAAGGCCATGTGAAGTAAGGGGAGGTAGGCAGCATGCATGTTTTTGTGTCTGTACCCATACCCTTGTCTGTGTTACTTGCTGACTGCCTCAGGGCTGTCCTAACTTACATCTAGCTGTCTGTTTACAAGTACGTTGACTCTTTTCAAGAAGGATTTCTTTTTCTCTTGCTTTGCTGGTTTCACAGTTCCTAGCTTTTACAGCTGACTTAGCCTGAAAATTCCCTAGTTTGGCAACACGATGGGTACACGGCTGGGATTTTCTGCCATTCTGTTTTGTGTATGTCTGCTCCGCCTTGCAGTACGCGTGAGTGACTTTATAGCTTTTGGAACGCACTTAATGGATTAGCTGAGCTAAGCTCACTATATTACTGGTGCGAGGTAAAGACTTTACATTTCCCATGCAGGTGACAGTAGTCCCAATGGGTCATTCTGACATCCAAAGATAGCCGTAGCTGGCATATTTACTGTTCTTTCTTTCTTTACTCATGGGCACAAGCTGTGCTTTGGCTGAGGAGTTATAGCACACAGTCCTGGAGGAGATTTGTAGTAGTTGGCTCTCATACCTTTGAACGCCAGTAGTAAAGGCAGAGTCTGTCCATGTATGTTAAATCTCAGACTTCATCCTGTAAAGAGCAGAATAAGGACAACACGAGAACTCAGTTTTGCAATAATATTCACACTGCTTTGCACTTTGCCTAGAAACTCCTGTTAAACCATAGTGTGCCATGGTGTGCAGGTAGAACATGCAGTAAAGTGATTAAGCCTGTCTTGTCTTAGACAAACCCACTTCCCACCTAAGCACTTGAGAGTAAGGAAATTTCTGTTTCGGGCATCTACTTGCACGTACAAACTGAGACACCCATACTTCTGTACAATTTGCATTTTTGCTTTGTAGAGCATTGTTCCCCTAGATATTTATTCCACACGCATTTCAGCCACCACCATTGATGGCTACTGAGCAGTAGGCAAGACTTGAGTTTTTACACCTTCTATGCATGTGCACACACAGACACACTCTGTTGGCCCAGCATGAGTAATTATTTATCTCAAACATATAAAACTTCTGCCTGTAGCTAATTTTTGAGTGCTCATCTGTAACTTTTAAGACAAACACAATTAGAAGTAACAGTAATTTAGAATAGCCCCATAATAATAATTTAGTGTAGGAAGAAAAATACTGATATTCAGTTATTTAATGGTATGCTATTTTTTTCCTTCTGTTAGAAGGCATATTTTTTAATTCAGAGTTGTAGAATTTAGCATATCTTAACTTCAGCTAATGTTTTTCCAGTAGCAAAAGTAACTTCATATTTTAAGTACTGGAACATGCTGAATAAATCAGCAGCCATAAAAGAAATTACCTTTTATTTTACATATCAATTGTAAGAATTGAGAGAAAGAGAAAGAGGGATTTCCCTGAGGAATGAAAGCAAGGATTTTGCATCTGAAAGAATCATTTCTAGTTTAAAAGGGGACTAAAAAGTTTTATAAAATGAATACACATACTTATATAATTCCTAGAGATTAACATGTCTGTAGAGTTAATGTACACAGATGAATGTATTTTAAAGGTTGATTAAATGTCGTCAGATTACTGTAGTTCTCAGCTGTCTAGAAGAATGTACCACACCAATCCATGAAGTTATTTACATTTCCATGTGTTAGCTATAGTACTATGTGTGAAGATTGGGGTCTACCAGAATATGATATAAATACATTATGAAACCAAAGAAGTCATCTGCAAAAGTCTTTTCTGTGCATCTGTTTCAAACAAACCATTCATACGCTTGGGTCCATGTTAAGTGAATGAGAAATGTAGTCAAGAGTTAAAACAGGTTTCATTGTGTATACAGACTTCAAAAGTGTGCTTGCTTATATAAACCCTCTTCTTTCCCATTTGGAAATGAAATTATTAATGTTTTTCATCAGCCTCATCTGGATTTTTCAACTTTGTGAACTTTATCTCTGGCATGTGGGTGCTCATAATATACAAAAACTTTGGACTGCATTATGTAAGATATCAGATGTAGGTGACCGATAGCAAACTCGAACACAGAAAATTCACCCATCTTTTGGGCTCCTCTCTTTATCTGATGGCATAGATACCTAACTCCTCTTCTGTGCTGCATGGACACTGTGAACAAGGTCTTGGACTGCAAACCACTGTAGACTGATAACAATTTCCCCTCCTGATCTGACAGCGGACCTTTCACAGTGTTTGCCTTCATTTTTTATGTTCTTGACATGAACTTCCTTGTTTTGCCGTGGATTTCTGTACTTGGGAGATTACTCGCTATTTTTCCATGGTGTGAGCATGGATTTTTTTACACGTCAAATTTGCTAACAGTAAACATGTTTTTTTTCTGAAATACTGGATGAGAGTACAGTCAAAGGAGTTCTATGTGTAGTAAATTGAGAGCAAAGTTGTGAGGTTTTGAGCATAGTGCTCTGTTAGCAATATTGATCTTGGAATTCCTGCATAGTGGTGTATTAGTTGTGAGATGAGAATACTTCAGGGAAGCTGAGGTACAGCTTCAGCTACCAGCATACACTTAATATTTTTCTTCTAAGAATAGAGGTAAGTTTTTATAATTGCTGTGTGTTGGAAGTGGAACATATCTCAATAGTCTGACTTTGCTGAGCAATTGGAAACTCCTATGACATTCTCAAATCACTTAGGACAAAAAAAGAATAATATTTCAGTTTGGATCTGACAAGCTTTGTCTCTTTCCTAAGTTGCTGACCAGCAAAGAAGAGAGAAACTGAAAAAGAAGATAGCCAGGTGTGAAGAGGAAATGAGTGCGGGTAAAACTGCCTCCCGATCCAGCTCAAGAGAGAGTAGAAGGCTGCTGCCATCCTCTTTTGGAAAGGTAGATATTTTAATTTTGGTTAGTAGATATCATAGTCTACTTGCCTCCCATAATAACAGCTGATCACTGCTGTGCAGCAGCTCTAGAGGGAGGGCTGGCATTTTTCAAGCAGCAGAAAATAGACAAGGGTCTTCCTGATATGTGCCCAACACCAAATGCCTGTCTCAGCCTTCTGACAAAGATGGCAGGTATCTGGATGAAGAGTGCTTGTGGTAAATTCACGCTCTAGTTACCCTTGAATTCTCTTGCTTTCATCTCAGCTGAAATTCCCATGCCCTCTCTGTCACTCCAGAGCTTTCTACCATTTCCTAACACAGAACTCTAGTTACCACTAACCTTCCTAGCAGAAGAATCAAGAATCCTCTATTTTTTTTTCTGTATGCAAAGTCCTACTTTGGAAATACATTTCATATCTAACAGCATACTACATGCTCAAATTGCAGTTATTGGAAGTGAAAATAGTACTTGAGCCATCAGAATAAGTGCTTTTCTGTCTATATACGTAGGCTCACTTATTTTGGCTGGCATTTCATCCAGATATGTGGCATATATTTCCAAATAATAAATAAATAGCCTAATAAATTACATTCTCTTGTTCATCACTGTAAAGGAGCAATTGCAGCTTAAAACAGAATGATGTTTTAACTCTGTTGATTTTAACAGCAAATGCTTCATGTGTTGTTTAAATATGTGGAGAGCTGGAGAACATTTCCAAGTAGTACAGAAAACTCACCATTAGTTTCTTTGTGTGACTGGTTTTTGCAGCAGGCAGTCTGAGTGTGACCTTATTGCAGTGCAGAGAAGTAGTGCTTTGAAATTCAGTACATGGCTGTTAGTTATGGATGAAAGTACAGGCATGCATAAGAAAAGGGAGGAAATGTCATATTTAAAATCCAGATTTTATTTTTTATTAATATGACTTTTGTCCTTCCATGTTATTTTCTGCAAACTGGGGGCAGGAGAAGTTCCTTAAATTATTTCATTGCGAAACCAAGTAAAGTGTGCTTAAACTGTATCTCTAATTACTGCATAAATTCTTATTTTAAAATGAAAGGATGCACTTGTGGTCTTTAATATAGCATTATAACAGACTGTTGCTTTTTTCCTTGTTTTAATCTTCTGCAAAACAAGGTCTTTCTAAAATAATATCTGTCCCAGTTCTTCTAATTACTTACAGGTGCCTTCCCACCAACATTTGTCTTGAAAGTGTAATCTGTATTATGCCAACAGAAACTGCAGCTTTCCTTATGTTTACTAGACTCAGGGTATAATTCAACAAACTGTCTGAGTCTGAATTTCAAGTTATCAGCTGAAAAGTATATTTTAGAAAGTGATGTTGGGAGACTTGCCAAATTAATGTTTAACCACACATAAAAAGTAATTTTGGGATGTAATACTTTTTTTGCTTCTAGGTTGTTTTTTTTAACTTTACAAATGCAAAGAGTAATCTTCACTAAAATATTATTTGGCACTTTGTTAATCAAATTGATTGCTGGACTTACAAATTACGTTTCACTATAGTATAAAAAAGAGAACCAGTGAGTCAGTAAGCAGTGAAAATCTGTAAGTGAGCCTTCTGGTAGAAGGGTAGGCAGTGGCAGTAATTGGGCTGTCATATTTTTGTGCTAAAAATGAAGCACTATTTAAACTTTACTTCATTTGCCAAAATATACATTGATTTCCTATGCTTGTTTATACACCAAGGGAGGATTCTTCTACTTCAGTGATTAGATGTCCTCTAATGCACTGTGAGGCTGAGTTAGTCATTCTAATTGTATTTCTCTAGCCATCAGGATATATCCATAGGTGACAGTTGGAAAACAAATTTTAAGGATGCCTATTAAAGCATATGATAATGTAGCGGATTTTTGCCACACAGTAATCATATTATTGCTGTCACTGTTGCCATTAGGAAAAAGCTGATTATACATCCTCTGTTTGTGGAACTGCTCTAAAAATTGTTTTGTTGAATTCGGATATTCCTGGGTTGGGATGAAATTCAGCACAGATTTGAAGCAGTCAACCTTGGAATACTCCAGGTTTCCAGAGAGGTAATGGGAAGAGTAGAATATGGTCCTGTGCTTAATAAGCATCTTACAACTTTACAGGAGGAGTGTAAGAAAAAGAGACAAGACGAATTATACTGGCTTTGCCACTGTTACATTTAAATGTAAGAATACAAAAGTTAAAGAAATTACTTTCATGGTGCATAATTTCTTGCCTAATAAAATGTGGCTCTTGTAAAATGTATATCAATTTAAGAGTAACATGCATACGTATATATGTATATAAAAAAATAATAACCATTGTAACTCTGACAAGGTCAATGTCTGACTAGATTGTAGGCTAAATACATCTAACCAGCTTTGATATATGCACCTGACTTTCTATTTTCAAAAGGCTTCATTCATTAGCATTCACTTTTTATGCATTCTGGTAAGTCTGGCTGCCTTTATTTCATCATTTTCATTTTTCACATAGCTGCATTTATTATTATTTAATGCTGCAATAGAGCACAGAAACTATTTTCAATTAAGACTCTGCTTTGTGTATGGTAAAACCGAAAAGAAGTAAAAAGAATTCCTCTAAATTATATAATTCATTACACATTTCTTAAAACTTCTGTGATTTAGACAGTGTATTTTTTTTTATACACTGAGCTGACTATGAAACTGAATAGCTATAATGTGTCTTGAATCTGACTGGCATGCTCTGTGACTGTTTTGTACGAGGGTTTAAATGCACAAGAACAGTGAATTCTTTATCTGTTATATCTAGTTATAAACGTAAAATTACTGTAATGTGAGAATCTGCTATGATATGTAATGAACTGAGAGAGTTATTTCTGTTGTGGTTACCTAGATTTCATTACTGACTTTTTGAAATAATCAGTGATTCTAATCAAAGATGATAGTATTTTGATCACAGAGATAAAAATATTCCATCTAGAGCCGTGGGTTAGGATGTGATAGATGTTTATGGTGCGTCATGCATTTCTCTACTTTTAGCAGAAGACCTAAGTGAGAAGCTAAGGAGCAGGCTTATTTTCAGATGGCATAATGGAGCAGTCTTTGGATGGGATCGCTAGCAACTAAATTACTTCAAGGACAGTAGTTTATCTCTCACAGTCAAGTAGAGGGGCAGGGAAAGCATAAGGTGTCCTGGGGGCAGCTGTACTTCTCTTCTGCTCCTCTCTTTCCACATAGCATAATAATGATGGTTGACACCGTGTGTGAAAGTTAATCAAAATAGGATGATAAGCTACAGATACGGATGTTGAAAGGGCTGCTAACTTTGTGAATATGTAATTTTTAAGCGAGTATTTAGAGACTTATTTAGACTGAATAGCTTGAGGATGGATAAGCAGCACATTTGTGGGTATTCACTCATCTGTCAGCAAATTACTTATACATACTCCTTCTTTAATGAATTACTCTGTTTTCTCACAATAGAAAAGGCTGTTTGACAAAGTCTGGAAAATACCATCATGTCTATGCATAGAATGTCACTACCATGTAGTCTTCCCAACTGCTGCCTTGGATGGAAAGCTATATCATAGTAAAATACCTAGATTTTTCATTTTTATTTTTCTGTACAAAGCTGATTTGGATTTTTAAACATTCATCTGAGTGATTCAGTGGGTCAAACTGCATGAAGCTCAACATGACTTATCTCTGAAGCAAGAAAACCTGAATTGAGGTGGCCATGAGTAAAATGTCTGATTTGAGCAAGACTTGGTATTTCATATCCCATGTTCAGATAATCCTATTAAAAGGCATTTCTGGCTGCTAACGAATTTTTTTAAAGAAATTAATCCATGCCGAAAGTCAGTTGGAGGAAGGCTGCTCCATAGGAGGGTAAATTTTCTCTTTTAACCATTTGAAGTATGGTTGCCATTGCCTTGACATTTCAAGATCCTTTTCAGCCTGGTTTTTGAGACTTTTTTGATTTCTTAAGGATGACAGTTATGACCATCTGCTTGTGCATATAAGCATATGAAATATAGATTAGGAAACACCCTTAACTGTTTCTAATCTCTATTGTTAATTTTGTATGCAGCACACATGCGTGGCTATGTGAATTGCCTACTCAAATGCTTTATATTTAAAGATTTAGTATACGGTTGTGATATTAACAGTCCAAAGATGTATTGTGCTTGAATTAGTTCTGTCAGAATGAGAGATGTAAGTGACTAAAGAAAGCAGAACCTTCTGAGCATCAAAGAAAGATGTTTTCATCAGGAATGTTCAGTACAGGTTTCCTTTCAGGCTTCATAGTGACAATCACCTCTCATGCTGGTTGTTTGAATTAATACATTTCCATATGCACATTCAGTAATATCCCTTTATTAATAACATCACAATATTTGATGAAAGTGGGAACATACCACATTATACAATTGAATAGCACACACACAGAAGGAAGGAATGTAACAGGAGCATAGTTTTGAATGAGAAAAATGGTTATTATTGATGCCAGTATGCAAACTGATTATATTCATACATTATTTGTTCACAGATTTGTGTGAATTTTCTCTCTTGCCTTTCTCAATTCTTAACTAATTACCAAAATGCATAATGAAATGAACAGATGACACCATACAAGGGGGTTATGAGAGCAGCAACTGTAAAGGCAGCTTGTCACTTACTACAGGAGACCTTTGCTCTGTCCAGGCAGTGGAGAGCAGGCGCTCAGCCCGTATACAACAATATTAAAGTGGCTTATAAATGGAACTGTCTCAAGTTAAAAAGAATCAGATGCTCATTTATTACAAAATTGCAGCTTCTGTATCTTGACAGTGCAGTTCATAAAGTGTCTCTCTGATCTCATTTTATGATGGTAGATGAGCTATTCTACTGGAAGACTTTTCATACAAGAACAAGTTAATTTCAAGACTTAAATTCATCTTGGTGTAACTTCAGTGACCCCAGTGAGAGGTGCCTTTGGACCTTTTATGTGAAAATAGATTTAACAAGCTTTCTTTTCTAAGTTTCATTTTT